AGGATAAACATTATTCTAATGCTCTGCATGAATTTTTAATTCCACAGATATACTATATCTCAGTATACATACTAGAACTGAACTTTATACGGTAAGGTTTTCCGTTTTCCGGTTCCCTCAGGAATCAGTGATTTTCACCCCTTGACTGTCACAGAGCTCAGATAGGAATGCATGAATTATTGTAGTCCCTCATAGTAGACTTCCAGGACCATGAGAAAGCACGTTTCTAAGTGATGATTAATCTTCGCTGTCAACTTGACTCGATTTGGAATCATGGAAACACACCCCTGAGTGTAGCTCTGAGAGCGTTTCCAAAAGAGTTTAGCTGATGAAGAATTTACCCTAATTGTGGGTGATGTCATCCTATACTTAGGCTAGGGTCCCAGGCTGTATCAGGAACAGTGGGGCCACCTGTCTGTAAACTCTGGGGGCTGCGCAGCCACAAAAGCATCTCCTGCAGGAGGACCTAATTGAGGACTGCCTGAGAGACCAAGGATTGCTGGTGCAGACAATGCCAGCCAATCAGGAACTGCTGTTTAGAAGAGATGCTTTCTTGGGAGCAATGGGGTGAGGGTGGAGGGTATTAAAAGAGTTTGCAGCAGTGCTCAGAGAGCTTGTTGAGGTGTTTCTTACATGCTCCAGGAGTCTGTGTCATTGACTCTGCACCACTTCACCTCCAACCCCTAAGGGCAGGTAGGGTCAGACAGCAAGTAGTCCAGGGCACAGGCAACACCAGGCTGAATAAAAAGAAAGTGATGCTGAGAGATGCTGTTGTCTCCCTCTGCTTGTTGCCTTTGGATGTAATGTGATCAGCTGCCTCCTATTCCTACCTGTGACTTCCCTGCTACCACCAGGGACAATACCTTCAAACTGTAAGTCAAAACAAAAACAAAACAACAAAGCCCTTTCCTTCATTGAGTTGCTTTTATAGGGTCTTTTGTCACAGCAACAAGGAAAGCAGCCTACACAACACCCAGTCTGTAGTGACTTGTTATGTCAAATGGAGAACATTCACACATGCATAGAATCCAAGAAATGACTGCACAGCATACTGGGAAAGACGTTACCAGAGGGTTCAGAGCAGAGGGGAGGTCTGTATTCTGGCCTTAAGTCTGAGCTCAGTCCCTTAACACTGGGGTAAAACTTAACCCTCTTCTCTATAAAATTACAGGCTTAAAATAATATCGCTTCAGGCTCTAAACAAACAAAAATTGAAACAAAACTCTCAAACTAAAAGCATTTAAGATATTTTTAATATACTACTGCTTAAGCATTACAGTGCCAGGAATTTCATCCTCAGGGAAATAAGAATATTTAAGAAAATTAAGTTGCAAGCATGTTTATGACAATTATATTTGATGTCAACACAATTGTCCAACAATAAAGTATATAAGATCACAGTAGAAGGTGCTAGAGATGGCACAGCAGTTAACAGCACAGACTGCTCTCATAAAGATCCCTGGTTTGGTTCCTAGCAACCAAATAAGTAGCTCACAACCAACTACCTGCAGCTCCACCCCCAGAGACCTGGTGCTTTTTTGTGGACTCTGTAGGCATTACATGTACATGGTGCATTTACATACATGAAAGCAAAACAGAACTGGCCTTAGGTTGGTGGCCCTGCTGCACCTGCCCTGGGTTGGGATGAAGCCAAGACTCTGGTTATAAATTCTGGGTCTTCTGGGCTAGGTTGGGAGGTTCTTGGGTAGGCTGGGGCTTTGCTGTTTGTCGATAGCAGTAGATGGACAGTGCTTGGCCAGAGGAAGGAAGGTATCAAACAACAGAAATGCACATAAAGTAAGAAAACAAATCCTTTTTGTTTTTTAATCACAGTACAGATGAACAATATAAAGTCTTGCCATCCAGCTGCTGACCAAAAGAGGTTTTGAGGTTGTTTTCCCACTGGTAGTTTTCCCATGTTCCAGTGGATAGCCACAAACCCATGCACACATGGGCAGCACTGTATATATATATATATATATATATATATATATATATATATCATATACATATGAATGAAATCTGGTGATTACATGTTGAGAGCTGATGTGAGGAGAGAGGGAAATATGGTGAGTAGATTATAATCATACTACATGCATATATGAAATTCTTAAAGATTTAAATTCTATTTACATATAATATCTTGTCATTAAAATTGATCCTATAGATGCATATTTATTGTATATAAGTATAAAATGTTATCTCTATAATAAATAATGGTAGTGTTGAGAAATCTTGTTCTTAAAACTCATGGGTGGGAAAAATCTTTGCTTGGAATCTCACTTTTGGAGGACCTAAGGCTATGAGTTTTTGCTTGGTTTGGGAGGAGTTAAATGAGAAGTCCCTCACAGGTCCAAATATTTTAACCCTTGGTGATGCTGTTTTGGAAGGTTAGGGAACTTTAGGTTATGGAGCCTTATTGGAAGGGGAAAGCCACTGGGGTCGGGCTTTTGAGGATTATAGAGTCATCTCCCCTCCAGTTTCCTCTCTATGCCTTCCTGTCAATCAAACTGTGATCAATTCCTGCTGCCAGGCCTTCCTGGCCTTATAGCCCCTAATCCTCTGGAACGGTGTCTCAAAATAAATTCTTTCTTTCATACTTTGCTTTTGATCATATTTTATCACAGCAATAAAAATAAGTGTTTGGGGTTTTGTTTGTTTGAAGTGGGGCTTGGCTACGTAGCCATGCCTTGCCTGGAACACTGGGTCCTCCTGCCCAGTCTCCTGACTACTGAATCAATCACAAACATGCACCACCTCATCCAGGGATAAGTGACTTTTACAACGTCTTGAATGGCTTCTTGGAAGCAGTTGACAAGTCCTAAACCAAAATGTTTAAAGTATATAGCTTGAAGCTTTGGAAAACTTATGAACTGATCATCAGAGCAAAGAACATATTTACCTCTCTCCTGTTTCCTTGGGTCTCTTCTTAAGATCTTCCTCGAACTTCCTTGCTCCTACCCCACGTCCCTAAGTAACCACTGATACGCTATCACTGTAGATCAGTTTTCATTTTCTAATTATACCCAGATGGAATCATACACTATGTACTATTTGTCTGGCTTCTTTCTCTCAGCATTAACAGGTGCATTCATACCTTGTATGTGTTTATAGTTCATTCCTTTTATCTATGATTGGCAGCCCCTTGAATGAGTTACTCAGAAAAAGCACTCCTTTCCAACCGTGAACTTCTCATAGAGGGTTTTGAGCATATTTTACATTTTATCTTTGTCATTCACCAGGAATTAGGACTTGTCTACTTAGATCAGAGTGGGTATTCCATCACACTTGGCTGTTTTGCCTTGATTCTTTCAAAGTATTGCTTTATTTACATTTTAATCTAATCTTTGTGCTGTTTCAACAGATAACCCCAACTTTCTGGAAGTATAATTATATTCTTACAAGTTTTGTTAACTGTAATGAATGCAAACCAGTTGGGTGTGACCCCACTTTTTTGTTTTTAAAATATAAGTGCATGGTGGGATAAAGATACAGTTCAGTGGGACAGTGCTTGCCAACCATGCTCGAGGATCTGGGTTCAATTCCCCAGCAAGACCACAAAAACAAAGTGCATATACATGTGCATACAAAGAGAAAGAGGGAGGGCGGGCGGGCAAGATATGATGACAAGTATGTCCCTGATTCCAAATACAGCAGATGGAAAAAAAAAACTTCACAAGATGACATGATCTTACTAAACTGTTTACTTGCTAGACTGTCAAAGGGACTAGCATGCTCACCTACAATTACTGTAATCCCCTCATTCATAAATCCACAGGTGATAATCTAAAATGATCAGTAGAACTTCTTAGGAAAACTATGACCAACACCAATAGGTAGTGTTATAAATCTTATTTAAAAATATGAATGGAATTTGTTAATTTTTAGAGTTCATAGCAGATCTCCTTTTAAGGCTCTGGCCTTTATAATTTAGCCTTTAATTATAAGTCTGCAAAAAGTTTAGTAAGAGTAGTTTATTACTTATAAAACTCCATTCCACCCATTAATCACAAAACTCATTACAATACTGATGGGTCAAAATACATGACTAGGTTTTTAGTTTGTATTTACTTCAGTTGCTTACATGCTAATTATCATTTAATTATAGACTGTTTCCTTACAGCAAAGTCAAAATACAAATACTAAGGTAGTCCCCAAGCATTTTTATAATTAAGAACTGAAGAAGCGTCTCAGTTATTTATTTTTGGTGCGGGGAATCGACGCCAGAGCCTTGCATATGTTCAGCAAGCATGTTCTATCCCTGAGCGACATTCCCCAACCCACCTAGTTTCCTTCTAATGCTACATTCGACTGTTGGACAACACATGCATTCAAAAATTGCAACTCTTTTTGTGTTGTATAAAAGCTTAAAATAATATGCTTCCCTCGCATATAAATACAGTCTAATGGGCTTCCTCTCAATATTTCCTATTAAGGCTACAAATTAGTAGGAAAATAATAGTGCCTCCCACGGGCTTGCCGACTTTTTAATTCTGGAGCCTGACAACAGACAGCAGGAGTGAATGAGAGAACGGACGCAAACGTTGGCAAATGATAATATGTTAGTCCGCCCCGAAGGAATACTCAGATGTGAATTACACGTGCCCGCGGCCTCAGACTCCATGGAGCTCCCTCTGGAAGCATCCAACCGGCCCCTGACCTAAGGAGAAAAAGCCGGTCCACTGCACCATCACTGCAGGGAAGAAAGCAGAAAGCTTGCTCATACTCCGATGGATGTGACTGTCTTGCTCGCGCGCAGACTTCACCCCTGAACCCCTCTCCGCACCCAGAGCGCCCCAGCCCGCAGCAGTTCTGCAGTCAGGCTTCTAGCTCCTGCTCCCCAAGCTCCACGTCGCCCCAAGGCGCCAACCGCACACAGTTCACGCTGACCCTTCCAAGACCGGAGTCCGCCCCGCCCATCGCGGCCACGTGACTCATGTCACGCCCACAACATCCACGTGACCCGGCCGGCCTCCGCGCGCAGCGTGGATCACGGCCGGAGCCGCCATTGTTCCGCCGGGGGAGGACAGCGGGGCCTGGCGCTGGCGCCCCGACGCCGCTTAGCGGCCGCCTCTGGAGACACTCTGTCCCCGCCGCCCGGTGTCCTCCTGGAGGCGGCGGTGTGAGGCCGGCTGCGGGGACTGGGTACACTCGGCCCTCCCCGTGGCGGCGGCGGCCGCCTATTCCCTACTTCGGCGTGAGGGGCGGCCGCGATGCACTCGGCCTGAGGTGTCGCGGCCCTCGTCGCTTCCTACGACTGTTCCAGCGGCGTGTGTGCTCCCCGGCGTCATCCCGCGAGTCTCTCTGACGGGAGGGAAGATGGCTGCACGAAGCTGGCAGGACGAGCTGGCCCAGCAGGCCGAGGAGGGCTCTGCCCGATTGCGGGAGTTGCTCTCGGTCGGCCTAGGTTTTCTGCGCACCGAGTTGGGCCTCGACCTGGGGCTGGAGCCGAAGCGGTACCCGGGCTGGGTGATCCTGGTGGGCACCGGCGCTCTCGGGCTGCTGCTGCTCTTCCTTCTAGGTTACGGCTGGGCCGCGGCTTGCGCCGGCGCCCGCAAGAAGCGAAGGAGCTTGCCCCGCAAGCGGGAGGAGGCGGCCTCGCCGACTCCGGCTTCCGAAGACACAGCCCAGCTGAAGAATCTCAGAAGCGAAGAGCAAAAGAAGAAGAACCGGAAGAAGCTGCCTGAAAAGCCCAAAGTGAGTAGTGGCGAGGAGCCCGGGGGCCGAGGGAGGTGAGAGCACTTAAGCGAGAGCTCAGGACGAGGTGGTAGGTGAACACGTTCCTTGAGTAAGGGGAAGTCGGAAAGTGTAAGAACCAGTAGGAAAGTTTTTCCTGCATGGTAATTAACTCCAGGGGTAGGTTTAAATAAAAGTGCCCAAACTTACAGCCATCATATGGGAACCTTGGCTTCCCCAAGAGAAGATCCTTTCTAGAGGCCTATGGAAGTAGGCTGCATGTGGAGGTTAGTGGGACCGTACAGTGACGTTGGGACGTTCTGAAAAGACTGCCTGGAAGAAAGAGATGTCTATCTGAAGTCACGTTGAGACCTGAGACCGTGGCTAGTGGAGGATGTACGGTGACCTAAAAACTCTGGCTTAAAGAGGATTAAAGGTGTCCAGATCCAGACATACTCCTCTTAGTTGGAAATGTTAAAGGGAAATGATTACCCTAACTTAGCCTTGTGAGTGTGGCCATTGGGTTGCTGGTACAGGAGCTGGGCAAAAGGGAGCTGTCGATCTAATACTCCTTTGGGATATATGGCCCTGAGCAAAACATAAGGCAAGTTCAGCAAAGTAGTCTAGTACAGTCCACGAAGTGGAAGTTTTTTTTTTTTAAATAAAGTAAAAAGGGCTGACAGATTGGAATGCTGAAGGTTGAGAGGTTTCAAGCCGCAGTTTGCTGACCACATGTGGAAATGTAAAGTATATTCCATTTTTATTAGGCTTTAGTGTTTTACTTCTGTATCCTGTGTTGTGATTTCTCCGTACTATTTTGTTATATGTATATTTGTTGGGGAGAGCTTGTTGGAGTTGCTTCTTTCCCTCCACCACGTGGATCTTGGGGATTGAACTCCAGTACTCAGGCTTGTTGGCAAGTGCCTTTACCCACTGAACTATTTTAGTAGCCTGTGTTGCATATTTTATGTAATATGAAAGATAAGTAACATTAGAAATATCTATTAGCGTAGTGTTGGTGGTACATGCATTTGATCCCAGCACTTGGGAGGCAGGGGCAGGCGTATCTCTGAGTTTAAGGCCATAGTTTCAGTACAGCCAGGGCTACATAGAGAAACCTTGTCTCAAAAAAGAAATATCTTCTATTTTTATATCAGCTGAATGTAACCCTTTACCTTTTCAGAACAATTCAGTAAGCCAGTACCAGATTCTTACTATGAAGAGATGTGCTCTGGTATGTTTGATGGGCATATAGGAATTAAAGTCAATCATGGCAGCTAGTGTGGGAGACAGGTTCATAAAAACTGTGTTCATGTACCCATAAGTGCTAAATAGAGGTGTGAATACAATGTTGGTGTGATTTGGAAGGTGGAGACTAGTTCCAGTTCCGAGAAATTTAGGGAAGTTATTTCAGGAAGCTGGGATTTGCATCAAAAAAAGAATATTGTTACTAACAATACAAAAAAGAAGGCTGACCACTCATGTCATGAGCATTCGTGTTTTGATTGCTGAGTGGAGAGATAGAGAGGAAACTTAGAAAGTTATCAGTTTAATACTTCTGAAGTTAAGAGAAGAGAATACAGAGCACATTGAGAACATGCATAATTAAAAGTTCTGTAGACAGCATCAAGGGTTAAGTAATGTTTTAATGAAAATAAAACTGCTTGGCTTCAGAGTAAAGGTGATCTTGAAACCAACCACATGCATTAGTGCTAAGGCCTATGTGGATTGTGGCAGGTTGTGAAGTTTTCTTTTTTTTTCCTTTTTGGTTTTTTTTTGTTTGTTTGTTTGTTTGTTTGTTTCGAGACAGGGTTTCTCTGTGTAGCCCTGGCTGTCCTGGAACTCACTCTGTAGACCAGGCTAGCCTCAAACTCTCGAACTCAGAAATCCGCCTGCCTCTGCCTCTTTCAAAGCCTCTTTAGGATGTTTAGAATTTCGGAGGGACCTGAGGAGAGAAACAGGTGCTCCAAGAGTTCATTGGAAGTGCATCATGACACAGATGACATCTGAAGGGAAGAACACACTTTGTGAAAAATGTACAGCAGATAGGATTTGGTTCCTCTTGCTTTTCATTTGTGTTAAGGAAGAAGGGATGGGTAATAAAATCTCCTGAGATCTTTGAGGAGCTGGAATTGAGATTGGCGGGTGAAAAAGTAACCATCTGCCAAATAGTAAGAATGTGTTAGAGAAGTTATGGTACTGAAACTTTTGTCTGCAACTCAGAAATATATTTTGTATTCCAGCACAGGCATAAGCTTGTTTTTCTTTAATGCATTTGTGACTCACAGAATTGGTTTCTTATTTGATATAAGGTATGACACCCCCATCCCACCCTCCCCTTAGAAAAATACTGATTTCTAAGGCTAAATATAAACTTTATTATTTCCTGTTCATTTTGTTTCTTGTACTGTGCTGCATTTTTACTTAGGGGAGGAAAAAACAAACAAGGCCTACTTGCAGGTTGAAAGCAAGAAAAGGGGGTGTTGTCCGTCTTACAGTGAAGGAAACATGAAAAGTAGAAGCTCAGTGTCTCTCCAGGGAGCTCTGTGCCAGTTACAGAAGATGTTTGTCCACAGTCCACTCCCCATGTATGCTCTGCTTTCATGGATTAAACCAACTAAGGACCAACATTTTATTTTTAGGGAGCTGGTGATGTTGCTAAGTTGGTTAGAGTGCTTACTTGGCAGGCATAACTCCTGGGTTCACTGACTAGGACTGTATAAACTGGGGGTCTTGGCATATGCCTATAGCCCCAACATTCAAAGTGGAGACAGGAAAATTAGACTTTCAGAGTCATGCTAAGCTTGAGGCCATCCAGGGATACATGAGACCTCTCTTTCCCCAGATCAATGATTTTTAAAAACTGCAATTGTATTGAATTAGGTACAGACTTTTTTCTTGTCACTAGTCTCTAACCTATACTGCATAACAACTGTATATAAAATATATACTTTGGACTAAGTATAATTACTCTAAAGATGATTTCAAGTGTATGGAGATATCTGTAAGTGACATACCAATACTTTATTTTATTTTATAAGGTACTTGGGATGTTCTGGAATCCCTCTCCAATAAATACTGAGGGGCTTATTCAAGACATTAACAATACAGCCTCATTGTGGTCCTAGAAGGCACCAAATGTCTAATCACAGAAGTTGCTTTTAAAGTAAAGAGATTCAGTCAAATTAGTAGGAAAAGCCTGAGAAATGCTAAAAGCTGGAGAAAAACAGCTTGAGAGGAATGGGGAGCCCTAAATTTGAATAAAACATTTAACCTAATCTGACTGACTTACTTATATGTCAAATTGAAGATCGTAGTTAAAACTGTGAAGGAGCCTCCCTTTTGGGGGTATTTGCAGTAAAATCAATTTGAATGCCCTTAAAATTTGTGGATTCCTGAGTTGTGTTTCAGACCATTAAAGTTCAAACTTTTTAGAACTGGATCTAGGGAACCTGCTTTCTTGAACTCCTGGCTGCAAATGGCCCTCCACCTCAGCCCGGAGTTTTTGCCACTACAGGTGTACACCACTGCCTGGCTTTTTAAATTTGTATTCATAACAAGCTGATTAGTTTGAAAACTACTCACTGGAATAGAGCTATAAAGTCCACACTATAAGAGCTTTTGTTTTCTTTTTCATATGTTTGTTTAGAGACAATGTCTCTCACTATGCAGCTCTGGCTGTCTTGGAACTCACCATGTAGACCAGGTTGGCCTTAAATTCACAGAGCTCTGCCTGCCTCTACCTCTGAAGTGCTGAGATTAAAAGTGTCCACCACTACACAGAGCTGACCTTGTAATTTCAGCACTGAGGCTGGAGAATTATATTGAGGTCCAGGCCATTTTGAACTATGATATTTGTCAAAAAACAATAAAGATATTTCTAGCCATGCAGTGGTGGTGTACCTGCAATCATAAAACTCAAGCACGGGCAAGGGGATCTTGAATTTGAGGTCACCCTCAGCTATATGACAAGATTCCTGCCACCCTCAAATTTTCTTAGTTGAGTCACTTATTCGGTGGATTTGGTGATGTAAACTACTAGTTTCTTTGAATGAACATTGTATGTTTCAGGATATATTGCCTAAATTATGCAATCCCTATTTTCTTTTTTTTAATTTTTTAATTATATTTATGTACAGAAAACTTAAGTGTACATTATTTTTTAACCCAGTTTAGTGGCGAGTTCTTTAGCCTCTGCTTTTTCCAGCTTGGCAGTTTGGGCCACAGACTTAGGACCCAGGACATTGCCTCCCCAGTGGCGGCGGATCTCGTCATATCTGTCATTATAATTGGTCCTAATAGCTTCCACCAGCTTAGCCAGAGCACCCTTGTCTTCCGAGTTAACCTGTGTGAAGGCAACAGTGGTGCATGTCTTCCTGTGGACCAGGCAACCCAGCCTGGCCTTTCCCTTGATGATGCAGTAAGGCACACCTGTCTTTCTGCACAGGGCAGGCAGGAAAACCACCAGTTCAATGGGGTCTACATCATGGGCAGTCACCACCAGCTGAGCCTTCTTGTTCTCCACCAAGGTGGTGACTGTATTGACTCCTGCTCGGAAGACAGGTGGTCTCTTAGTTGGGACGTCTCCTTTGGCAGCAGCTTTCTTCTCAGCATGGGCCAGTAGCCTTTGCTTCTTCTCTTGCTTTGTCTCTGGCCTGTACTTGTGGGCAAGCTTAAGCAACTGAGTAGCTGTTTGCCTGTCCAGGGCCTGGGTGAACTGGTTAATGGCAAGAGGTACTTTGAGTCGCTTTTAGAGGATGGCTTTTTGCCGCTGCAGCCTGATGTATCTGGGCCATTTAACGAAGCGTGTTAGATCTCTTTTGGGCTAATCCCTATTTTCAAAATGTTTATGTGTGTGGTAAATATATACACACATCTGTTTGTGCACTTGTACATGTGTGGATGTAGAAGCAAAAATCGATGTTAAATGTCTTCCCTAATCAGTCTCTTCTTTCTGTTTTAAACATTTCATTATGTGTTTGAATGTTTTGCCTGCACATAAGCGTTGCTTGGGGCCATGG